AAGGACGCAAGAAACGAAACGAACTCATTTGAAAACACTCCACTGCTTTACATCCGAAATATTCGAGAGTTTTGGCCAATTTTGAGCGATTTTTGAGCAGTCGCGATCTTTAATAAACGATTTATGCACATTAGAGATTTTACTTCGTCGAAAATAACGGATTCAGCTAAAAAAAACGCAGGAAGAATTTTGATTTTTGATCAAAAATTGCAGATCAATTTTTGAAAAAAAAACCAAGTCGCTAAAAATGCCTCAAATTTGACGCCATTTCCTTGTCAAGGAAGCAAGAAATGCAACAAACTCAATGAAAAACACGCTGGAAGCTAAATCCGATATACTCTGGTTTGATCAAGGCAGCAACCATCTCTGAAGATGCAAAGCACTTAAACACCTAAAAACACACTTTTTGCTTCTGTTGCTTAAATAGTAACAATACCAGATTAAACGGACATCAAATTGCAAACAGAATAAAACACAAACATACATAAAAGGCAATTTTTGTTGTTTAAATCGAAACGATCTCTCTGAAAAGGACGGAAAAATGTCCGTTCAACATGGATTTATATGAACCCTGGACAGCATCCCAAATTGAAACAAATCAACAAAATGATTCATCAACTTCTTAACCAATTCATCCAATTTTCGCTCGCTTGTCTTTAACATAAATTGGTGGATTTTTGCAATTAAATTTCGCTCAACCTCGGGTCTGTTGAATCGATCATTTCAACGATTTGTTAACGAGTTAAGAGAGAAGAAAGTGATGAAAATAGATGTTGCGCCCACCCAAGGCGCCATTAATTTATATTTTCCAATTAAGAGTTCGTGGATATTAGTTTATCAATAAATTCAATGCATACCGGCACGAAACGTGAGAGATTATTGAGGAATATCGGAAGCTTAGCTAGTGAAAGGAAGTGCATAATCTGTATTTAAACACGCTGATCTTATTTTCGGATACAATTTTTTAGGTAATTTTCAGAAGCGATTAAACGCACGCAAAAACCGCAGAGAAACAAACACTACCAGTACGATGAGCTTAATGATAAAGAAAAGTGGCTGCAAATTTAACGGTTTTCCGATTTGAATGTGAATGAAAATAAACTTCTGCAAATAGGAGATGGAATGCCTAAGTGCCCCCATAATCGTGCTCACAGCCGCTCACTTCAAACAAAAATATAATTTGGCTAATGAGTGTTTTGATTTATTGTCACAAATCACGCTGTTTGTTTGCTTGCTCGAAAATATCGAGCATCTTTTAAGATTCGGATGTTTCCTCAAATCCACAGCAAAGAAAACGTTAAAAACTGCCGATCCCTTTAGCTTTAGAGTTGGTTTTAGGGAAAGTTTCATTAGATTCATTTGCTAGCTATTCTCCAGTGCATAATTGCGTGATGAAATCGTGTAAACGTGAAAAAACATGTTCCAGGTGTGCAAGTGACCTGGAGAACCTGCAATCGCTTCATATAAGGTTAAGAACTTCCGCTAACATCTGACAATAATTATAATAATAATAATAATTGCGCAAGCATAATGCGCCTTGTTCAATCCCATCGTCCCACTTGTCGGGTCACTTTTTTGAGGAATATTTACTCAGTGAATTAATTATGGAAATTTATTCATCGGTACTCTAAATCACGCTTTCCCTGCTTAAAATTACGTTACGAAACGATAATGATTCATAAGGCAACGTTTAGTTAATATTTAACTTCAGATTTACAGTTTTTATGCTGTGTATTTGAGATGGTATCGAGCCAACTACTAATTATTCGGATTGTTTATGGCAATAATTAAATGTTTTATCGATGCGGTTCATGGGAATTCGATGGGCATTTGTAATAAGTTTCCGATTATATTTAAGGGATTCGAACGATTCACAGTTGATACCAATCAAGCCTTTTAAGAATCTAATGGGCAAGAAACTAAGTCGATTTTTTTGCAGATCGAGATTGTTTCAAAAGAGTTTTTTGGGCTTTCAGGCCAGAGGGGCTTGCATTTTCCGAGGTGTTAAACTAGCGAAAATTTGACCAAAAAAACCTTCAACGGGTGTTGCCAAATATTCCCCTTTCTGTTCGAATAATGTGACTACAAAGACCTTTTCAAACCCCCTTCGGTATAATTTTGTACAATAGGAAATTAGCTAGAAAGGTCATTGTATTGCCTGTATGGAAGCGGGGTGCAAAACGCCCTTTGCTGGACTTGTGCAACTGCAAATTTGCATCTTAAAGTCCAAGTGACAAAAAAACCAAAGTGATACCGCACCTTATGGCTTAAACAAAGCCTGGTGGGCTTCAGTTTTTTCATTTTCCGCTTTACATTTGCGGTGTTTGATGTGCATTGAAATCGGAATCATTTAATATTTGTTGCGGGAATCCGAGCGAACAGAGCTTCCTCAATTTACATGACTTTAAAGGAGCGCACATATTTAATTTCCTCTATGCCCAACCCAAGGATTCGCCACTAATCTCCTGTCTAATTAGCTCGCTTACTATAATGCAATCAAATATGCGAATGATCGATAATAGGTGGCCGTAAATTGAGCACAATTAATTTGATACACTTCATTTAATTTCAAATATCATTATCTTTATAAGGAAAATTAGCCATTTTTTCTACTTCAGTTTAATGGATTTATTTAGTAATAGCGACGGTCTGATTAGAATACGGAAGTTTGATTTTTAATTGTGAATGTTTCAATTAATAAAACTGACTATTCAAAGAAGAAAAACTGTGAAATTTCAGGTCTTAAGCAGCAAAAGATGATACAAACATTGAACAAAATCGACTAATGTGTAAGCACTCATCCCATTTTACCGTTCGTGGACAATCTATATCTGGCAGATAAAATTAAAAAGGGTCGACAGTCGCTTGATAGGGCCTTGGTCAAGTCTGCTACTTTGAAGATAAAAATGATCGCTATAACTGGTTTGAACAACGCGCGAAGGGAGCAGGCAGATTATCTTCCATGCAGTGTTTTCAGTCACGTAGTGATTAAAACATTAAAAATGTACCGAAAAACATTGAAACACTGTCATAAAGAACCTAGACAAAGTACAAAACCTCCAGAACCTCGAAGAAAAAACAATTAGCGACAGAAAGACAACAAAACATCCTTTCTAATCGGTCACGCATCGACTGGTCGAAAAACCATTGGTTTGACTAAGAAAAAAACTGGCGGTGGCCAAAAGCTCTAGCAAATCCGAAGCAATCTCAGCCTATCGTAAAGTGGAGAGTAGGTATGACTCTTTGCTTCATTCAGTCCTCCGCGGCTGTTCACATGATAAAGAGCCTTTAGTTGAGTGCGGCTCTTTTGATCTGTCGTGCGATCGCTCGCGAACCAGACTCTGAAGAACATGCTGGCCGATTATAGAGTCCATTATGTTGTTTTTGTGATCGCGGCATCTTTTGGCGATTAAACAGACGGAGAATGTTCGGATTGCGCCCCTGTGTTTGCTGACTTTTCGCTCGCTCAAACCCTTTCAGTGTGTTTAATTGTCGATTTGTTAATCAGCCCCAATCAATGTATTTCGGTAGTCATTCCTTTTTATGGATTAACTGCTTATATTGATGAAAAGTAAGTACTTAAGGTGTTTTGTTTGGATTTTTTATGTTTTTTCCTTGGAAATTAAGATCTCCCGTTTTATCGTCCCTAGGGATTTTCCTGATTCTTTTAATGGTACTCGACTTTTTGGTTAAAAGGCTTTAAAGTGCGGAATACGCAAAAATTGATGTTTCAGCGAGAGTTTTTCAAACCTCAAAAATTGCAACTGCAGCGGACTGGAAATGTTTGTTCAAAATTTAGTTAAATTCGACTTTGCAAAGTGCATTTTAATTTTATTGAACCCCACTTTAAAAAACCCTGCAATCGGATCACTTTTCAAATTCCTTCTTTTATGCAAAGTCACAAGACGCAGTTGATTTTGAGCGCTGCAAAAAATAGTACAAACAAGAAGTATCTTCTTTTGTAAGTGGAAATTCGTTGCAAAAATCAGTTAAGAGCACTTTTTAGGCCATTTATGATTTTGTGCATGTTTACACGACAAACCGTATACTTTCCAGTTTGACTGGGCCTAAAAACAAAGTTTATTTCAGAACAAAGAACTTAATGAAACACGTTCTAGTAGCATAAAACTGTACACCCAAACTGTCCAAATGTTCTAAATTCTTGTAGATGGACGTTACCAGAAATGCATAATGATTTATGTTGCGTTAAATAGAGAAAATTGAAAAATTCTTGGATGTTTCAGAGCACCAGCAAGTTATCGAAAAAATCTACTGTTTTGTCAAAAAATAATTGTCTCATCTCAAAATGGCCAGCATTCTTCATCATGTGCATCTCAAGGACACAAGGCCTCATTGAAAATCACATCAGGAGCTTTAGATCCTCAAAAATCAGCATTTTGGGCCATTTTTAAGCAGATATTTTGCGGTCACAGTCTTCAACCGATGATATTCTCCTTATTATAAATCTAAACACTTTATATACCTATGGATAGAGAGGAGCTTATTAGGCGGAAAACCATCCATTAAGCTCAAAAAACACGCAAGTAAAATTTCGATTTTTGTGGTGAGCTCGATTTTTTCAAAAAATATGAAACCACTCAAAATCACGCCAGTTTAAATTAGTTTTAGCTTATGGACGCGAAGAATGCAACGAGCCTATTTAAAAACCCATCAGAAGCTTTAGAAGCGAAATAATCAACATTTTGGGTCTATTTTAAGCTATTTTTGAGCGGTGCCGATCTTCAAGCGATATTGTCCTTATTGAAGACTGAAACACCTTTTATATGCTCATCATAGAGCTTCTTAGGACGGAAACAATCCATTAAGCTAAAAAAACACGTTTGTAAAATTGTAATTTTTGAGCGAAAAATTCGAAACGGGTGGAAATCGATTTTTTCAGAAAATATCAAAATGTAGCAAAATTCACATAATTTTCATCTCAAGGCAGCGAGGAATTCAACGAGCTTATTCAAAAACACACTTTAGATTCAAAAAACTCAAAATTTTTGGCCAATTTTGGCGGTGCCGATCTTCAAACGACGATATTCTCCTTATTATCGACCCAAACGTAACAAATGCAAATCAGAGAGCTTTTTTACGTCGGACTCAATCCATTGGGCTCAAAAAACACGCATGTAAAATTTTCATTTTTTAGCGAAAATTTCGTAATTTCGGAATACGCATCAAAACCCAAAAAATTCTCCATCAATTTCTTCTCAAAGAAACGAAGAATGCAACGCGCTGTTTCAAAAACACGCTAGATGCTTTAGATCCAAAATAATCCGCTTTGAACAATATCTGAAGATGCAAGCCAGTCGTGCATGAGAAACGTCGGGAAGAAATTCGTTTTTTAATACTTTGAATATTCTTAGGCAATAAAACACTAACGGGTATCTTCCTAGGCCATTAAAGCACTAGTTAATTATCAGCGAATAAGACGCCCATTATTCCTAGAATGCAATTTGCCCGGTTTAACATAATGAATATTTTGATTTATTATCAATGTTGACTGGTTTATTTTCTTCTCAGTTCAGAATTATTATGGACAGCTAGAAATTCAAAGGGCAGCCCTATAAAATCGGCCCCCCAGTCACGGATTTATCGGCAATAACCATTATTTGTTGCTACTTTAATAAGCCATCTTCAGTTTTACTGCGCCCGACAACAATGTGGCTGTTCATTAGTCTTATTAACTTAAACGGTTGAGAATTTGTTATGTTCACCCTCACGTTTGTTTTTTTTTCATACAAAAAAAACCACATGTTTCATCAACAGTCTGCGTGTTTATGTAATGAATAGTTCGGTAATATTCGCCGTTGATCTAAAACTATGTGCATGCAGCGTTCGGCATCGTTCAAAGCGTTATGGGAAAGGCGAACAAAAGGGAAGCCAACCTTAACAAACCCAACACAAACCCATTAATTGCCTTGAAATTGTTTCTTGTGGTTCGTCGTCATTTTGACTCGAAGCGGAACCAAACTGTTACCGAAGTAACAACTAATCATTACAAAGATCGAAATACGGTACCTAATTATTGTTGTCGTGTAAATGGGGCTAAATTATGGGCATTTGCTTAACTGGCTTCCAAATTTATTGTGCGGTAAAATACTTGAAAGGTGCATATTTTCATCATTTTTGAAAGGAAAATGATAATTGCTTCGAGTTAAACTCCACACTCTTGAACGGGAAATTGTATTCAAGATCCGGCCAGTCTCTGGGAGAATATCGGATTCTCCAATTAACAGGCTTAATTTTTCGGAAGCTAAAAGGTAGTTGAGCAATGAATCCGGTCGTGCCCAGAATAAAAGGCCATTTGTGGTCACGAAATTCGAACGGGCCAATTATTTTAATGAAAGGAACAGAGATCTTATCGGGTTTCCTAAAGTAATCGTTTTAAACCGATCTAATTTTACCTGTCGCTTTACTTCCTTTCAAATTTCCGTTCGCTTCACCCATTCAACGCTGAGTTCGGATGGAACATTTCGTTTATTCGTCAATCTTCAATTGCCTGACTAAACAATGTCTTTAGAGCCAATCCCAAGTCGAACGATACATTTCAGTGTTGTTATTATTTTGATCACGTAACACGAAAATTTCCCACATTACTCGGGGCTCAATCACAGGCCAAATTACCCGCCTAGACTATGGCTAAAATGGGTATTAAATTATGGTCCTAAAAAGCAAAAATTGCCGCTAATGTCCTTTATTGCCCACCGTGCGTAATTACAGACGCATTTTTTGCCTCATCATCGTTCTATGGGTCTTCTTTCTTGAAAATTAAGGTTGCCTGGTAGCTTTATGCGTCCGAATTGTTGATCGTCGGTAGCATGGTGGCATCGTTAAATCTCGTTTATGAGTTCAAATGGCTTGTAATAAAGAAAACGTTGTAGCTTATCGGCACATCGTTAAAATCCTCGGCCAGTTTGCTTTTCGAAAGTAAAAAACTTCATCGGTTCACTGTTGCAACCGGTAAATGATCAGGGAATTGCGAAGTACGAAAGAATCTTGGAATTGATCAAGCTTTAAAGTTCATAAATTCATAGTTGGCAAAAAAGCTTTCAATTGTTCATTTGGTTGACGATGTTTTCAACCCGAAGTTTCGAAGTTTTGCAAAAATCATTGTCTACTTTGGACTGATTATTATTCGGTCAAATGTTGAAATCGTTTCGATAACTCACTTGGTGAGTTAAGATGTTTTTAAAGGAAAATGTACTTCTCTGTTATAATTTTTTAGGTAAAATGTCGATTTCGTTTGTGTTGCTTAAATGAGAGTGAAGAATTTTGGATACAAAAATGCGCCTCTCAAGCTGACGTTTTTTCAAAAATCACTGCATTTTTCAAATTGATCCAACTTTCAGGTGCGTTTTGCTTGATGTTCAGACTTCTCATTTTGCAAACTTTCCAAGTCATTTCTATTACTCATTCGAAAGTTACAATTTTTTTTTAAAAGAAATGCATCACTAGTTGCATTTTCAAGCTGATCTCCTTCAAAATTCAATTGATTCGACTTTGGTCTGTTTATAGCTTCACTTTAGAAGTTTATTCGGCAAAATGTTGACAATCGCTTCCGTTACTTACTTGGGAGTTAAGATTTTTTAAAGAAAAATGCCCCAATCAACGATGCTTTTTTTAAGCCAATGTTCTAAGCTGCTTGAAAAATCACTGCGTACTTCGAATTGATTCAACTTAAGCCTATTTGTTGCTTCGTAGTTTAAGTTTATGTTCTAAAGTTTCGCAATTATTTCCAMTGCGGATTTGAGASTAAAATAAAAAAAATGACACTCATTAWACTTATTTTTAAGCTAAACCTTWWWASKWWTTTTTKAAAWACCTGCGTACAACGAAAAGTTTCTTTCGTAAAACTTTTAGATCGTTCCTGYTACCCGCTCGGAACTTTCGCTACTTTCGGGCTGTTAATAAATTGAAGTTTAGAGTAAAATCGGCGTGCAGYAAAGCRKTTTTTTTTTTGAGCAAAACGCTGCAAAATAATCATATGTTTTTTACGTTAGAAATTTGTCACAAACTGCTCAATTTATGAGTCGAAYCATCAAGTTTACGCACTTAACTATGAAAATCAAAACGTCCTTCAGACACCAAGAAATTAGGCCTAAAACCTCCCAAGATTTTCCTCGCGCAGAAAAAATAACGTATACAATTAGCCGAGGATTCAGCCACTTCTGGCAGTGATTTGCTTTTCCATTCCCAAAAGTCTTGTCGAACAACACGCCGACTAAGAAACACGACACTTTTCCGCACATCTTTGTGGCTTTTTCACTTCACACACAAACAAGGAAATTCGGAATAAATAATGCCGACATAGGAGGCACAATGACCATGCAACGGCTGATAAAGTTTCTCTTTAATTAGTTTTATTGGGCTTTAAACATTCCTGCAGGTAATTTAGAAGAGCCGATATGGAATCGCTCCATACTGATGTGCATACTTGGTCGATAGATAAAAGTAGTCACTTTTGGTGCATAAGTTTAGCGTTTTCGGACCAATAATTAGATCACTAGAATGGTGTTTACAACACGATTTCAAAAAAAATTGCGAATGCAAACGCGGCTATTT